TTATGGTGGCCATCTCTAGTCTGGCAGGTCCCGTTCCTAAATTGGAGGTTCACAAGCAACTGCTTCAACTAATTTGTCAAAGCTGATGCAGTCCTCCCTTTCTCTGTTGTGCTAGTACTTATGTTTATCTGATTTTGTTCTGAACTGGTTCTGGATGATGGCTGGCTAAAAACTACTTTTTTTTGGCAGGTGGAGGGAGAGCATGGTAGCCGCCTTCTGGTTTAGCTCCCTCCATTGTCTCGCTGTGGTATGGGACAAGTGCTAGTGCCAACGTAAAAGAGAGGTCGGGAACCGACAGCTGAAAGTGGAGCCGGGGAGAAAGGATGTGGCTGCAGTCACATCTTTAGCAGATCTAGCAGGCTGCCAGTGAAAAGGGGGGGAGCTGCTCCCCCTTCCAACTCCCTGCTGCTTGCCTTATGTTAGTTTTGGAGTTTGCTGGACCACTTCTTGAGTCGATTCAGCTCGCTAACCCAGTCAAACCTTTCACTGATGTAATGATTTGAATCAACTTGGGGAGGGACTGTTAACTAAGTGAGGGGGTAGAACAGCATTGCTGGGGGTTGGGAATGAGAAAAAAAGGTTTGGAGAAATGAGACTATGCTAATTGCTTTAACCAGGCTAAATTCCACATCAGTGAAAGAGAATGAGCATGTTGAAGGTAACACTGACCTCATGGCACCCAGAGGTGTCATGGATCATTGAAAGTGGAAAGGGAGCAGGCGGGAACTTGTGGAAAAGGCCTCTGGACTAGTTAAAGAAAAGCAGGACAAATTCTGACAGCTTAAAGTAGCCACTTAAACACAAAAAAAATTGAAAAACATATTTAGCTGGTAAAGTGATCTTTTTATGTTGGTTCATCACTTTGCATCCTGTGGGCTGTAGCATTTTTAAGCCAGTATCAGATGCTCACAAATCAGATGTACAAAGCAAGACTTAAGTAAAGAAGTGTTAGGAAACCAGACTTAAGTATCTTGGGGATTAGCAACTTCCAGTATGCTACGGAGAGAGACAAGAGCTGTAGCCAAGAGAAATATTTGGTACAAGAACTGAAGTTCGGTGGTGAGGAGAAAGATGCTGACGTAGAATTCTAGTTGTAAAGGTAGGGTGAAAAAGGCAGTGGCTGGATTCTAATATTGAATGTGGTAAGCTTAGGGAAGATGTTATGTGAATATTGGACTTAAGAAGCAGTTAGGCTCACTGACCCACTATTGGAAGGAGTTTCTTATTATTTAAATTATTTCTGTTGTAGTTTAAATGTATTAGTTTTTGTAACTTTTGTGTTCTCTAAGCAAATGTTTGTTCCTGCTGGTGGATACAAAAGCAGCTTATTTTATAACTAAGCATAGCTTTTACTCTGTATTGGGTACTTTAATTATAAGAATAAACTACATGTAGACCTCTCAGGTGATAGAGGACATTATAATATTCACTACTGTTTCAGTTGTTGATTTTCAAGATGGGTATTTTTTCTTTTACTTTTAAAAATGTGTACTTCTCTTCAATGTATTACAGTTTGTTGCAGTTAAAATATGTATTTTTGTGATGTCTATAGAAAGGGAAATAGCAACATATATAAAGAGTTCAGCTTTGACTACTTAAAAAAAAATAATCTGAGTTGTATCTCTTTGCCCCGTTATAACTTAAATAGTTGCCTAGCTTTGAAAGGAGTTTCTCTTGGACTTCTTCCCTTAGGCTATTAGTATAGTTCTTAACTGCATTATTCAAGAAAGCTGTCTTTTCAGTGTCCTGTGCTTTTAAAGTGAGTTATATGGGGCAGGATGGGATCTTCTGCCACGATTTTCCTTTTAGCATTGCTGTTTGAGTCAAGTAAATGGCAAAGATGATACTAGGTACTAATGCTGCCAACTTCGGTAATTGGGTTTTATAGGATATTGAAGCCTTTGTGTTTTCTGGGAAGGGTTGGAGGGGGTGGGGGAACAAACCTGTTTTTTATTATTTTGGTGATGCATGCTTCATTCCTGAATGTCGCAACAACTTGGAAAGCTTAATATCCTCATCTGCCAGCCCTGCGGAATGTGCTACAAGTTGCGGCTTTGAATCAATCTGCATGAAACTACACATCCTAAGCGTAGCTGTGTTTCTTCTGAGCCGTCATTCAAATAACTTGTATCATTCATGAAAAGGAAGTTTTCTCCAGTCCTTCCTCAGTCAGATCTGAGCTCCAGCAAGGAGTGAATAACCTGTGCAGTGTGGTTGTGTTAGACTCAGCAGTGCCTTCAGGCCTCGGTGATTACACTTGACATGCCTGGTGTTCCAATTCAGTGCATGCTGTGTGCGTGGGTACTCTTGCTCCGTGTTGCACATAATAATGGAACCTCTACTCATTTGTGCATGGATTTACCTTTTTTCAAGTGCTGGGCATGCTGTCTTACTAGAGAAAGCTCTGCCAGTTGGCTGCACACTTTCCTATGGTGCACTAGATGACATTGAGCTGGCTATTAACTAGATTTTTCAGGTTACAATTGTATGCAGGCTTTAAAAAATGAGGGTTTTATTGCATATCTATTTCTTACCACTTTCAGGTTTTTTTTCTGAAAAATGCAGTCATCATAAGCAACCTGCACTTGAAGACACTCTACTGTAATTAATTTTAAATCTTTAGGGGGTGGGAAATTATGCAAAGAAGGGAAGGAGATAGCAAAGGTAAGGTAATAAAGCTACTTAATGTAAGGATTCTGCTTTCGAATTTGAAGAAGACTACCCCTTCTCCATGGAAATAAAATCTCTAAACTGAATGTTTCACTGCACAATAAAAACTTGCTTTCTGGAGGGGGGAATACAAATTTAGCCTTATTAAAAACAACAAAGCTTCCCCCCTCCCCCCATTTTGGTAACTTTCTATCTAAAGGTTGTCATAATCAATTTATATTCAGTGTTTCTAAAATTAGGATGAAAGCCTAAATTAGTGTTTGTGGTTTGTTTGGTTTTTTTTTAAAGGAAGAAAGTAAGTAAAAAGCTTCCAAACATACATAGCAGAACTTGTTTATTTGGAGGTAGTTAAGGAACTTCTTAGTTTCTTCAGCTTCTCCGCATACGCACGTGGCAGTGTCTTAGATAAACAGTTTTGTGGTAATGAGGGGAGTAGTCTGATCGTGGAAACCAGGTTTTGAATTTTCTGAAGTATGTGTTAATATTTCTAATTTTAGTGTGAGTTTCTCGTACAAGGAACTGTATCTTTTCTGGCAGCGTAGCCCTTGACATTATTCAACCATGCACATCTTTGGTTCTATAAATGTAAGCCTTTCGGTTAGGACTTATATCCTGCTAGAATTTTAAAGTGTCCACCTATGCTGATGAATAAATCTGCAAGATTTTTGTTAAATTTATGTGGTGACAGGTTGGGGAGCATTTAGTATGCCAATCATAGTATGTATGTAAATGCTGCTGTAGAGCTCTGTTGCTACAGTGCCTGAGTAAACACAGGGAAAGGTAGAAATGTTTTCTGATAGTGGGTTGTCGTGATTTAACCCCAGCCAGCAGCTAAACCCCATGCAGCCGCTTGCTCACACCCCCCCCTCCGGAGGGATGGGGGAGAGAATCGGGAGGGCACAAGTAGGAAAACTCACGGGTTGAGATAAAAAAAAAGTTTAATAATTGGAATAAAATGAAGTAGAACAATAATAACAACAATGTTAAGAACAACAATAGCAGAACGTACAAAGCAGGCGATGCACAATGCAACTGCTCACTGACTGCTGACCGCGTGTCACAAACAGGGGTGAGCCCCCCCCACCTGGTTTTTATACTGAGCATGACGTCACATGATATAGAATACCCCATTGGCCAGCTGGGTCAACCACCCCGGCTATGCTCCCCCCCCCCCCACGGCCCCCCCCCCT